CATGGTGTTTAGACATAAATGTGTGTTGGCAGTGTGTGAACAACCACCCTACAACGATAAAAATCCACCCACTCCTCATTTTTTAATCCCCTTTAAACTAAATCAGTCTCACTTAGGGATGCAGCGATTAACCGGTTTCGCGATTAACCGCGCTTTAAAACGTCACGGTTAATTAATCGTAAAGGTTCCTCTAAACCGAGTGTTTCTGTTACACAGAACGGAACTGTTGCAGCTTGCGCAAAACGAAAACAAAGTTACACTAGCGGTGCACCAGCTTAAAATGAGGTGCTTATCAGAGGCACGGAGGCTACTACATGCATTAGATGAACTGTGACAGAGGGACCAAACAGCGAAGCTTTATTTCCACCAGAGAAATACCTGTCGATAGTGTGGGACCATTTTGGGTACACCAAGAATGACCAGGGTGTCATTTAAATATTGCTGTAAAAACTGCTGCTAAAAAGCGAATACATAAGGAATAATGCACGGCTAGCTGTACATTGAACGATTTTAATGCACGATGTGAAGGCAAGAACCACCTGACGTGAAGCTACAGCTCGTTAGCTCCGCATTCTGCCCGCTTCAGATCAGAAAGAGATGAAATAGTGCGGTAAGATCACATTTATTTGAATTAATTATAACATTTAGCTACATTAATTATTCGAGATTGAGAGAGAGGTGACAGTTGCCTGTGTGAATTAGCCTACCTGCGTCTGTGCGTCTCTCCAGTAGACTATTTAATCTATTTTATTAATAAAAGTCACGGGGCAGCATTTGACAGACAGTTTGACAGACAGTTGATTACAATAATATTTCAGTTTATTTCCATCATTAGTAACAGTTTCCCCTGTGGGACAAATAAAGTTAATATTAGTCGTATATTAATAATAGGCTACTTCATTAACTTTGTTATGAAGTAATTAAATGAATAAATGCATAATAATCGTAAAACCGTGATTATTCCTCAGACAATAATCGTACCAACAAAATCTATAATCGTTGCATCCCTAGTCTCACTAGGCCTGCCGTTTTGATTCTCATGCAGTATGACGTCACACTGGGTTTGATTGACAGCCCTGCACTGCTATAGTTTCCGCCCTCAGTGTTTGTACGCTGTCCTCCATTTTCACTGCGCTCCAGCAGCTGTAACGTCAACAATGTCTCGCAAGCAATCCCGATGCTCTGTGTTTGGATGTAAGACTGAACATAAGAGTCTTCATTTTCTCCCAACTTCTGAGCTGCTGAGGATGCTGTGGATTACTTTCATTTTTCAAGTTAATGAGCCTCAAAATCTATCTAAATATGTGTATCACTCCAGACTCCTTTGTGAATGTCATGTTGTTATAGTGCTTAGCCGTTTAACCGCATTTGTGTGTGTCCATTAAGTATTTTTTTATCTGATCAGTGCCGCGGTCGGTCCATTGATCCGCACCGATGACAGGTCAGCACGGCGCGAGGTCTGTTTCGGGCTGTTTCGTCCCACTTTCAGTGCATCTGGCTTCCCATATGTACGGCTTAACACCGGTTCTCTCGGTATATATATGCTTAATGCTTAGAGAACTGAAACTGCAATGCCTGATGAGCTGTAAATAAGGTCTGTAAATAAAGAAAGTGGGTACTCTGGTGAATCAGTGTGGTGTACAGTGTGAATACAGCTTCTGCAAATTTGTCTCAAAGCTCTTGCCTCAGTAAAATCAAATAAGTTTTGTGGTTTATTTGTTTTCCCTTTGCTGGTTAGAACCTGCTATAGCTGATGTCAGTTCATGATGTTTTTTTTTTCCACAAAATAAAAAAAATATATTATTAAAAAAAAAAATGATTTGTGATTTGCCAAAGCAAACACCACTAATAATAATATAGTTAATGTATTATTATTCAAAGCGACTCACATCCTCTGTGTCCTTCACTCTCAGAATCTGCTCCCGTAGGTCCTGCAGGTCATTAAAGGTGGACTGTGCTGTGATGGAGTAAACCAGAGCGAAACCCTGCCCGTTCTTCATGTACAGGTCCCGCATCGCTGTGAACTGCTCCTGTAGGCAAACAATCAATAATCTAATGAGTTCACATTGAAGACTAATGAACTAATTGGCCAGTTGAGTTCATGCATCAGATTAAACTCACTGTGCCTGCAGTGTCCAGGATCTCTAGCATACATTGCTGCCCATCAACCTCAACTTGCTAAAAAAAAAAAAACAGAGAGAGGGTGTCAGTACTGCATTAAAGCATTTCCCTATATGTTGCATTAATACAGCTATACCAAAATGGTTTACTTACCTTTCTATATGAGTCTTCTATTGTGGGATCATATTTTTCAACAAATATTCCCTGTACAAACTGAACGGTCTGTAAAAGACCAGAATCTCATTCAATACAAATAAAGACCTGAATAAATACTACAGACTAGAGAGAAAAACACTACAAATACTGTATACAATGCCCATTTATAATACAGTAATGTGTAGAATTTAAAAATGCTGAAGTTACCAGTGCAGACTTCCCCACGCCTCCAGAGCCCAGGACCACAAGCTTATATTCACGCATGGTGGGTCTCTCTGTTGAGGCCTGTAAGATTCAATCACAACACACACACACACAATTATCATTCATCAGTGCAAGGTTTGAAGCTTAAAACAGGTTTTTGGTTTTCTGAGGACGTGGTTAGCACACTGAGGTTTCCAGAACCATAAATGTTAACAATATTTATACCAATTTTTCAAAGATTTTCATGGCTTACTAAGTATACAAGCGCCTTGTCGCCTACATTATTTTAAATCTACACTTTTTTTTTTTAGTGTTGCTCTGAAGTTACTTTAAAATCTAAATTATTTTCTCTGATTACATGTATGTCAGCGTGATGGGGGCAATGATCCTCCCACCCCTTCCATCAACCACATGACCAACGATTTCCAGATAGAAAATGTCAAGCACCACCCTCACAATACTAAAGAAAAGACTTCCACAACTTTAGTTTCATGCCGAGTTAGCATGCTTTAGTTATAAAGTTTGCATGGTAAAAAAAAAAACTCTTGATGAATTGTTTCTTTAAACTCGTTTCCTTTAAAGCACCGTCACTACAGCTGTATGTTTTACAGGGCTATTTGAGGTCATTCAGGGTGCACTTTAAATTCCACTCTGATCAAGGATGCAAATGCATTCAAATGACCAAACAAACAGCTTATCTACTGCATGTAGATCCAACTGAAAGCTATGCTAATGCACTAGTTCATTCAGCCTGAAGCAACTAAATCTAGAAAAAAGTGGCTCAATTAAAACTTTCTGAACACTGAGGAAAGTCAAAAATTACCATGAAATGAAAATTGTGATTGTGAACTTTTCCTCTTCTACTGTGAAGCATATCAGATAAAAAACAGCTTCTTGAATGAGGAAAATGTAAGGCAGAACTTGATTTTGTCCATCTGGAATTGATTAAATTGTTGTCGTTTCCTAATTGCTGCAATCTCATATGAGTGGCAGGTCGCTGGAGGAGAAGAATGACTGCCTTGTCATTCTATCTGACCCTCCTAAGATCCCATTTTGTTCAGTAAATAAGCAAATCAGTTAATAATATGTACAGCAATATTTTCAGTGATTGAGATTAACTTATAAACTTCAAAAATAAAAAATAAGGAAAAGCCATGGGTAAATTAAGAAAGATTCCAAAGGAAATCTTCCTTTCACACCACTAAATGTCAATCACTATAAGCAATAAAAAGGCACAGACAAGACTGTGCCATTATCCAAACCAGTGAATATCAATCTATTAGTTTTTTTCTGATTACACCTTTAAATGTCATCAGATTAAACTAAATATCACAAATACAGATAAAACCATTGCAACAGGTGTACAGATAACCATTGTCTCCCCTAGACGCCTCAATAACATTACGGTGTCACCAGGACTGTAATTATAACGTTACATCTCCTCTACAGCTGTGGGATCCAATCTGCACGAAACATTCCTCTAGTCTATACTACCAGCTGTAATGTCATTTTGGTCACTTGTCGAGTGAGATTGTATGCCAATGTGGACACCGGGAGTTCATATGTAAATCAAAACGCAGGTTAAATACAAAACACACAGAATTTAACTTGTTAACCAGCACATAGTAATCCCATTTAACGCGCACAGATCAAATATTTCCCCGTTAACATGAGGACAGGTATTTGTTTTCGTCTGCTCGCAGGAGAGACCGCGGCCTGTAAACGCACCGGTGTTTCCTGTGAACTTCGACAGGCAGCAGCGCTGCTGTGCGGGGGTAATTCTGCTCAGTCAGCCGGCCTGCGCCTCATTAGCTCGCGCTAGCACCTTAGCATGTTCATTACGCCAAGTTTTGTTGAGCGACCTTCCTCCCAAACCCGGCGCTCGCTGTATAGTGCGCGAGCTTGTGAATGTAACTGTGAATGACCGTGCCGAGTCGCGGTGGTTCGGGGATTCGTTAACAGTTCACTCACCGTGTCCCGCCGCTCCGCCGCGCGCTCAGACTCCGGTCACTAGGACTAACTGCAGAACCACGGAACCATACGTCATGACAGTCTGAGGACAACAGCGCCAGACTAACAGTCTGAGGCCGGAAGTGGGCGGAGCAAGTGTTGCCTTCCGCTACTTCCGTGTTTTGGACCGTTTCAAAGTTTAAAACAACGTTATCATCAAGTATTATATTAAAACGATTGAATTTAAAAGATATATAAGATGCACTTATATATATATGTGTATGTAAAAAAAAAAAAAGTAGACATACTACTATAGACAATTGTCAGTTTTTTTTTTTTATTATAGTTTATTATACATTTGTTTTTTGTCAAATGATTAACAATATAAATTTTACAAATCTTTATAAAAAAAACAAAAAACAAAGCTTGAGCATTTGCAATTTTTTTATACTCCATTTCAAAACTAACCACGTTTTTTCATAGAACAAAAATAAAAATATTAATTTAAATAAAATGTGTTTTCCCCTCTTAAATAGAAAAAACATCACACACTAGTTGTACCTGCCCCAAATAAATACAATTAATTAAAAATACAAAATCAAACTTAAGTAAATAAATAAATTGAAGTTATGCAGGCACACATTTAACAATAATTCTCAAAAATAACATTAATACTAAATTAAATCAAAACTCCATAAACATGGAGTTAATCCTGAGGTGCCTTTTGTCCAGACACTCGCAAAGAAAAACGTCCATATCTTCCTTGAATTGGAAACAAAACATGAAAGGCTCTTTGGCCAGTTGTTGGTCATCATTGATTTCCGCCTGATTAAATTGAAGGGCCTTTTCCTGGTCTTCCTGGTTTAATTTCAGATACCACGGCTCTTCCACAAAACCTCTGAAGGCATGGCAGTTTTTCCACAGCCATCCAACTGCGGTCAAGAGGTCTTTTACTATCAATGGCTCCTTCATGAGAGAAGAGTAAAAAAAAAAGGGATGAAATATTTAATTCATTTAAATAAACTTATCTCACAAGAGAAGAGATGGTTTGGCCCAGATTTAGCTGCTAGCTAATTTTCATCTGTTGTCCCTGGGCAGATTGGAAGTGTCCTCAATAATACCTTGTGTTTTAATCAGGATGTAGCATGTAAATCAAAGTTTTGAAATTCTGTTTTTCTCATGTGCCCCTGTTTGAGACAATAAAAACATACCATGTCGGCGATTTCAGTGTCATGTTGTTCAAGTGGCACCTGCACATCAATGGCAGCATGCTTCCGACAACAAATTAATTTTAAGTTAATGTATAGACAGATGTACAAAAAAAAACTTTCTGAGAGAGAGAGGGAGACCTTTCAATGGCAAAATTCTCCATCAGAATAAGGCACCACCATTTTCGACTTCAGACTTGCATATGGGGGGAAAAAAGTGTTAATAGATCAACAATTTAATAGATTATATTATATAGTTAATAGATCTTTTTATACAAAGACTTGACCAAATCATGCAGAAAACCAGCTAATTCCACAGGGACTACTATTACATAATATTAGACATATTATAATAATACGTTCATACCCCCATGCACAACAGCCTTTTTGAAGTGAATTTTGATGTGACTATTCAATTTGTCCAGTCTTGTCAGTTTTAAAATACTACTAGCACAAAAAGGGCAGTGAAAATTTCTGCAGCATGTTGTGCATTGCTCCAAAGGTGGTACTGCTGAACCTCTCTGAATCGTTATATGGTTCTATAGACAAAATCAAATACATTTAAAGCATTTCTCAGTCAGAAAATTGAACAAATGCAGTAAAATACAACGTCAATAACAAATGAAAATCCCAAATCATGAATATGTAACCTAACAAAGTGATACAATCCAATTGCAAAATAATTATGTGCTTAAGTGTCTTCGTCACAATGCCCACTTGCAAAATACTTAGAGCCCTTTTGTATAAGCGTTAATCCAAAAACAATCGATTAAATACACAAAAGGCAATTTTTTTTTACCGTTTTCTCTTCTTCCGCCATGATGATGCCGTTTTCATTAACTTTTGACTGAGCTCTCGTAATTACGCCGTGATTAACTTCTTACCGTCTCTTCCGCCATTATTAGTTTATATGAACTCCGCCCACTTCCGGCCTCAGACTGTTAGTCTGGCGCTGTTGTCCTCAGACTGTCATGACGTATGGTTCTGCGGTTCTGCAGTTGGTTGTTATTGGACACTCTCGCGGATGCAAACGTCACTGCAGCGCGCGGAAGGCTGGCCTGACACATTACAGTCACTAACGGGTTAAAGAGACATATGATATATAATTCTAAAATATGTAATCTTCCACAAATTCTTTGGTGCGTGCAATCGATAGAATTTTTTTAAATGTCTTATTTATTAATTTTGAACAAGTAATATATACATACATACATTTGACTTTGTTCTGCCAAGGAAATAAAAAAAGAAAGCTTATTTTCCATACAAATATGCCCGGCTCCAGAATCAAATCACTGAGGGTGCTTCTTAAATACATCGCCTAAAAGTATACATATCAAGTTTTTGCGTGTTGTGTGTGTTTGTTTGCTTGTTTTGTTTTTATAATAGATTAAAAAAAAACAAGTAGGTATAATAGAAAAATAATAGATAATGCTTGTGTTAGAATGTCATTATTTATAATAAATAAAAAGAAAATAAGTAGAAAGAATAGATAGAATAGAAAATGCTAGCGTTATAGGTCCCCTGAAATGCTTAGAACCGCAGCGAAAAGAAATGGTGAAACATCCAAACATTTAGTATCTCTGAAAAGCCCTGAATGTGCACTGTACAGGACCAGACCTAAAACTGTGGCATGTATACTCTCAGAGAAATTCACTAAAATGTAATATATATATATATATATATATAAACGTCAATAACAAATGAAAATCCCAAATCATGAATATGTAACCTAACAAAGTGATACAATCCAATTGCAAAATAATTATGTGCTCAAGTGTCTTCGTCACAATGCCCACTTGCAAAATACTTAGAGCCCTTTTGTATAAGCGTTAATCCAAAAACAATCGATTAAATACACAAAAGGCAATTTTTTTTTACCGTTTTCTCTTCTTCCGCCATGATGATGCCGTTTTCATTAACTTTTGACTGAGCTCTCGTAATTACGCCGTGATTAACTTCTTACCGTCTCTTCCGCCATTATTAGTTTATATGAACTCCGCCCACTTCCGGCCTCAGACTGTTAGTCTGGCGCTGTTGTCCTCAGACTGTCATGACGTATGGTTCTGCGGTTCTGCAGTTGGTTGTTATTGGACACTCTCGCGGATGCAAACGTCACTGCAGCGCGCGGAAGGCTGGCCTGACACATTACAGTCACTAACGGGTTAAAGAGACATATGATATATAATTCTAAAATATGTAATCTTCCACAAATTCTTTGGTGCGTGCAATCGATAGAATTTTTTTAAATGTCTTATTTATTAATTTTGAACAAGTAATATATACATACATACATTTGACTTTGTTCTGCCAAGGAAATAAAAAAAGAAAGCTTATTTTCCATACAAATATGCCCGGCTCCAGAATCAAATCACTGAGGGTGCTTCTTAAATACATCGCCTAAAAGTATACATATCAAGTTTTTGCGTGTTGTGTGTGTTTGTTTGCTTGTTTTGTTTTTATAATAGATTAAAAAAAAACAAGTAGGTATAATAGAAAAATAATAGATAATGCTTGTGTTAGAATGTCATTATTTATAATAAATAAAAAGAAAATAAGTAGAAAGAATAGATAGAATAGAAAATGCTAGCGTTATAGGTCCCCTGAAATGCTTAGAACCGCAGCGAAAAGAAATGGTGAAACATCCAAACATTTAGTATCTCTGAAAAGCCCTGAATGTTTGG